GATATTATGTGCAACATTTGAACGTTTTGTGTATATTTCCAGCAAACGATATTTTAATTGGTTTATTACGTTAGTTTTTTTTTTCCTTTTTAACTTTATAAATTTTTATGTTATAACAAATGGAAAAATTCAAATATTTAAAAATCATTCAAATTTATGATAATAGTTTTGAATATGAAATAATTTTGAAATAAAAATTGTTTTTTTGCTTAACATATATATATGAATTTTGCAGTGATAGTGGACGATTGATAACCGTAATTGTTGCATTATTCATATCACTAATGCTCCGATTTCCAACTTTTTTTGACTACAAAATTGTTTATCATGCAAATTGTCCACCTTTTCGGGTCTAAAATTAATATTTAATTTTATATTGTTAAAAAATGTTTAATTTTTTTTCTGTTTAATTTTTCCGTACTCTTTTTCTTATATTAAGTTTGAAAATTTGATCTGTACACTGTTGATCTTTCTGATAAGATTTGATCTTACCAGAGATAATCAAGAGGTCGAACTAATTATTACTGTAAATAAGCTCATGGATTTGTATATTAATACTTCTATGTTCATTTCAATTTATTTAACATGTTATAACTATACCAGCCAGTAGTACAAATGAAATAAAAAATTTCAATAACTATGCTTGATATGATTTGCAGTTTGTTAAATTTGGAAATAGCAAAATTTACTCTTTTAAAAATTAATAACAACAGATATTTTTAGGATTATTTATTCCTACCAGTGCTAATGAATTATTCGTTATATACAAAATTTAACTTTTATATGATGAGTATTGCGCAAACAATACTACCATTTATATTACTTACTTGTTTTAATATAATTATCATATATTTAACTCATAAACGACTTTATAAACCGTCACATGGTGTGAAATTGTACATGTTCGGATTTACTAATATAATCACGCAAGGTAAATATTTTCTGCAAGTTTGATAATTACAATAAACTTACAGTATCAGAATTGTTTAAAAAAAACTGATTAACTCTTTACAATTAGCATAAACAGTAATATAATATTTTCAAAATAATACAGCTTCAAAAAAAAATATATTTGAATGAAAAAAGATTTTAAAACTTATTCGAGAAACGTGTTTTTTTTTTAATATCAAGGAATTAATCAAAAAAAAAAAAGAGAAAAATTTCAGAATCGGAAAATCGTAAAATTTATCAGGAACTGAAATATGCTACCCGTACAATGGTAGCAATTGTGTTTACATATTTAACTTGTAATGTTTTTTCCGTTTTCATGTCAGTGATGGAAAATATTTTTCCGGAAAGTTCAATGCTTATTGATAAATATGGATCAAGGTTAATTTCAAAACTTTTCATTCAAATAAAACAATAACGAAGTGCCTTCAATGAGAGGGAAAGAAAGAGAAAAAGAGAGAGGGAAAAAAATCTTATTCAAAAAAAAAAATTTTTTTTCAGCATTTTGATGGAAATATTCAGATCTTTTATATTGATAAATGATTGAAAATTATCTCGCTGAATGTTTTTATCAAATTGTACGAAAAATCCTTCAAGGAATAGATTTTAAAAAATCGAAAATATTGGAAATAAGTCAAATTTTAGGTCAAAAAAAATTTTTGCAATTTCTAGAAAAAATCTTAGTTTCATCTTTTATATTTTTTTTTTTAAAAAATTTTTTGAGTTATTCTATCTGAGCAAAAAAAAAAAAATCAAAAAATAATTTTTCAGCACAAAATTTTATACAATAGCAGCTGATTTGGTAAGTATTTTGGTTGTATTGAATAGCTTATTACGAATGATTGTTCATATGATATGCAATCCGCAATTTCGTAAACGTTTCAAACTTCTATTAATCAAATTCAGGTGTAAATTCATTTCTATCTCAATCATTTTTTGATTTCCCCTCTTTTTTCTTTCTCACTTTTAATTTTCTAAGAAAAATTATCAAACGTAAATTTTATTGTGAAATTGAAGCAAAATATTGTTATTTAAAAAAGAAAAATAAAATAGAATAGATTAATTGAAAATAATATGGCATGTATTTTGCTAATTAAACCATGCATATGCATAAATTAATGATATGAAAAAAATTTGCAAGACAAATTTCAAATTTTATTACAACAAACTTTTTGAGTTTTAATTTTATGCAAAATTCTTACTCAATTATCGTTTCATTCTTATCAGTTCATTTATTGAATTTTATTTTTAAAAGCATTTAGAAAGTAGTTTTGGTGTGTTGAAAAATATTCAAAGTGATCATTTGGCTTATATCGGAGATACATGAACAAAAGTGATCAAGCAAGAAGCAATAAAATCTGAAATGGTTCGATCTCATAAAAAACGTTCGGCTGACTGAATTTTATCAAATACACTTTCATCGTTGTTCAAGAAAAGTTATAAATTAACGGAGGTGATGTGAACTTAATTTTGCATTTTGAATTTCGTTTGAATTTCGTAGAAAAAAATTTATACTATGACGATTGTCTGTTTCATAATTCTGCTAATTAAATGAGTACGGTTCATTCTTGTGCCTATTTTCTTCTGCAATATATTGTAATTTTCATATTTTTTAAGCTATAAAAATTTTGCGAAATCGTTTGAGTACATCGTTTAAGTATTTAATTGAAGTAACGAACTGATCATTGGCCGGTTTACTTGAATATGATATGCCTATGATAGAAACTAGACATTTGACTAAATGTTATCCGCTGAATTATCTTACGAGCAAACTATAAATTTCTAACAAAGTTTCGATTGAAATAAACTTTGAAATAATTGAAATGATATTAAAATAAAAATGTGCAAATGTTTGCTTTTTTTTTCGAAAAAAGTGCTAAAATCTTAATTATTCCATTAGTCATTTTTTTCAATTCTTATAGCTTTTAAAATTTGAACAAATAATGCAGAATTATTAAATTCAAATTTAGAAAGTTTATTTCATTTCATTAGCAAATGCGTGATGGAAAAAATTGTTTCCAAAAAGTTAACAAATATTGAATTACCGAATTCAGAATTAACAAACAGAAGAACAAAATATGCTTAAAGTGTTTTATATATTACATAAATAACTCGAAAGAGAAATCGAATTTTTATCATTTTCATCATTTTATTTTAAATTAATGAGTGACTAATTAGAAAAGAATGGTATTGTCTTTCTTAATATGAATGCTGTAATCGAAATTGATCAAAACATTTTCTTCCATTTCTTTAAAATAATATTATGAATGAAAGTTTCAGACAACAAAGGATAATAAAATTTGAGCTTTTTACAAAAAAAAAAGGGTGAATGTAAAAAAAAAAAAATGTCTCCTTTACGACTATAATTAATATGAATACTTATTTCTGAATTAAAGATTGAAAAAAATCGAGCTCATTATTGTACCTTTAATATAACTAATTAATATGCTAAATAATGTAGAGCCTTAAGGAAAGCTGTAAAAATTTTTTGCAATATATTGACAAACATTTTTTATGAAAAGTTCAAATTTTATTAATCTTTCATATATTTTAGCATTATTCCATCATATTACTTTATCACTTTGCATAGCACGTGTCGTGTGTGAAAAAATGGAATAAATGTTAGATTCGATATGCTATCACGTAAAATCATTTGTTTGCTCGCATTCTAATTAAATATTTTATGACTTAAACAAAATCTAACGTTTATGCAAAATGATTTTAAAAGGCATACAATTATTATGAAAAACAAGAAATTTTCTTTTTTTTCTGTTTTCTTTTTCTTCACGTGCAAAATGATAAAACATACAATTATAATGAAAAGTAAAAAAAAAAAAAACACGTTAGTAATAAAACTTGTCAAATCTCATCGACAATATTGTTGCAAATATTCGTGTCGTATGGCGTAAGTATCGTGAAATTTTTTTACAAATTAGTTAGCTAAATGAAAAAACAAAAAACGTTATAAAATGCTGTTTCTGATGCGATCCAAAAAAAAAAAAAATATCTGATTCAATCAATGAACTGACCCTTAAACTGTTGCTTTTCTCTAACCGATAATATTTTCATTATTGAAGTTATGTGAACAGATAAATATGGAAACAGCAGACACAATTTGATAATATCTGAACTTTGTGGGCGAGCAAAAATGACCTCTATTCATTGACCTCAGTGATGAAATAGTCACAAAGGTCAGTTGATCCGAATTGCCCATCTAATGGTTGGTCGTCAATGCTATGTGCACTGTTTGCAGATAATTTATCAAAACTTTTACGCTTTTTCTTTCAGATCTCTTGCTATTAATTTAAGTTTGATCATGAATTATTAGCAATTAAATTGTATTAATTTCAAAATTTTGATAGTACATTAGATTTAGGAATGGTTAATTTATTCATGTCTAATCATAGTAAGAATATACTTTGACAAAATTAAAGTATTTTTTGATTCTGAATGCTTTTGAGTGGTTTCTTTTCTTTTTTTTAAATCAATGCTATTAACAGTCATAATGTTGTATGATTTTTTACAAATTAGTTAGAATTAATTAAGGAAATATCGAAACAATGCTAACGAAATAATTTTTAAAGTAAAATTTTCAGGTATTTCAAGTATTTAAATAAGAAAATACCGAAACTATGTTTAAAAAAAAGTTTTAAGTAAATCTAATGTATCATCAAATTAAAAAGTATATTTAAGTATTGGAAATTTAAAAGTTAAAAAAAAATCAGGAAGACATAAGAATCAAAATGATCAGACAAACATTTTATTTGATGTGGAATGAAATTATGATTAAATTATATTTCGATTCATTTATCATCATTGATTTTACATGTTACTTTTTTTGTACTGTAAAATTTTGCGTCCTGAAAAGCTCTTACAGTTTTTTTTTTCAGATCTCTTAGTATTAATTTAATTTTGATCCTGAATTAATTACATTATCTGTCTAACTACTTCAACTCTCTCAAATCTAATTTGAATTTAAATTTTGCATTCAATAACGAGAGAAACTGAAAATGTTTTGCAATGGAAAAATTCATTTATTGCTTGCAGTATGCATGCTAGCATACCATATACTATTAGTTGAAGGATGTGCGCGAAAATTTGCCGAAAATTATGCTAATCGTATTCGAAAAGGAAAACCATGCACCGATATTCGAAGACAGAAAATACGAGTTGGACGAAATCCAGTTCGATATGTTACTGTTGATGATTATGGAGCACATGGAGGTAAAACAAATTTATTTTTAATTATTTTAAGCAATTTCAAATTTTTCTAATTATAGCTAATTTCCAAATTTAAAGAAAATTTAGCTTTAAAAATTAAAAAATTAAAAATAAACCTGGATAAATGATTTGAGTTGCTTTTAAATATTTTTAAATATTTGAACAGTATCAGAAGGATTGTTGGATAAATGAATTGTAAAAATGATTTGATTTGTTTTTAAATGTTTTAACAGTATTAGAGGCATTGTTTTCAAAGCTTGAAATGATTAGATTAATCGGTGATAATTTGGAACAGTAAGCTTTGCAGCTCAAATGGAAAAAAAATTTATAACTTAGAAAATAGTTTCAGAAATAGTTTAAACGAATCATATTATAAAATAATAAATCAAATTAATTATCGATTAATTACTTCTCATTTTTAATTTTTTTATTTACAGAATGTGATAATGATGATGAATGTCTTCCAAAGATTAAATGCACGGAAGGATGTTGTTTGTGAAGATAATTTGGAATAATTTTTAATTATTTGTTCAATTTTATTAAAACCTTTTGATGTTTGATAAAATTTTCACAGCCCATATCGGTTGAATTAAATTGAACTTTAAACGAATGCTTATTTGACATTTAAATCAAGCTCAAATTGAATAAATGTAACTTAAAATAATCATATCACTGCGTTATAACATTTTAGCGTTCACCGATGAAATGTCAAAATTGTTGTGAAATATGATCAATACGGTAATTGTAATTAATTATTCATATTCATTTTTACTTAGGATTTTATGAAGTGCACAAAATGTAATTTAAAAATTGAAATAAGAAACTAATTGATCACACAAATTTAGATATATAACGTTCCCGAGGAATTTAAATAAATCGAAAAAAAGAACAAAATGCTAGTTGTAAAGAATAACTATGAACTTATAATTGAATAAATTACAGCTGGATTTCCTTACAACAACTGATTTAAAAGCCTTTCTTAACAAATTATTGATATCCATTCATAAATAATTTGATTTAATCACTTAAACGAAAATATTTTAAGTATATTGTGTCGATTTTTTTTTCATTCCTATCACATATCACAATGAAAATCAGAAAGAAATCTTGGCTAATAAATTTTATATTTCAAAAAAATTTGGCCCAATATAAATTGCGCCTGGTGATATCTGCGCTTTGACTTCTATAATTAAAAATCAAAAATTAAACTCTGTTCATTGGTTTTCTAATTAAAATTCCAAAAAAAATCTTCATGCCTCAATTAATAAGTTTACAAGGAGCCCTTTCCACCTATGATACTAAAACAAATTTATTCATCAGTTTATTGAAAATGAATTACAATGAACTTGAAAGTTGCATTTATTTTACTTGAAATTTTTAACGGGATAAAATGTATTAAATAAATCTCATCAAATTTTATATAGTTCGGTGTTATGCACTTAAGATTTCAAGTTTTTTTTTTTGTTCTTTGAATATTCAAACTTATCAGTGATAAGATTTTTTTCATGATTTATCATAACATTATCACAAAGTATAACAACAAAGAAAAAATGATATCAATGAAATGCGATAACAATGAACATATTCCAAAATTTCCTCATTTCTTCATGCCCATCATGAAATTTTATATAGTTCGGTATTGTGCACTCCAAATTTCAAGTTTTTTTTTTTGTTTTTTGAATATTCAAACTTATCAGTGATAAGTTTTTTTCGTGATTTATCATAACATTACCACAAAATGATACCAATGAAATGCGATAACAATGAACATATTCCAAAATTTCCTCATTTTTTCATGCCTATAATTAAATACTCTGAAATAAGAAATTGCATATTTCCTAATATTTTAAGTTATAAGAGCAGAAAGAATCATGGCAAAAATTTCTTGAACAATTTTCAATCTTCTGTAGCAATCATCTACTTTAAAAAAAAAAAAAAAAAA